ATAAATATAATCTAAATGCAAACAGAAATTATCAGTTACTTAATATTAATATACATTAATTATAATATCATTTTATAGTTGAAAATTAAGAGAATATGTAATATGCATATTTATTTTTTATGCAGATGATGTTGATTGCTTTAATATCGCGATATATAAAACAATAATATATAAAGTATGTTTTCATTAAATGCAGGGTTAAGAAAGTTACTTTTTAAAAGTTACTCGTTACTGTTCTTTTTTCTAAAAAATAATTCGTTTCGTACTCTTTACCAATGTTCAAAAGTAACTCGTTACCGTTACCGTTATTTAAAAATAACGGCATCGTTACAATTTTTCGTTACTTTTTTAAATATAAATTTATTAAATATTACAGGGTTTATTTTAAAATAAATGAAAACATTACTAAATTTTATCAAAATTCTTTATTAATTTTTTAAAAGAATTTCTGTTCAACTATGTCATCATTTAGCTGCTCTCTTTGTGGCGTTAATACAGCTCCACCGACACTGAACATCTTTACTGAACTTTTTCTTTCACATGTGTCTAATGACGCGTTTACGTACATGTGATTTCTGCATCCCACACTCTTCTTTGAATGAAAATTGCAACGAGTAAATTTGCATAAAGTAGCGATAAAAGTAACTGTTAAATTTGTTACTCATTACCGAAAGATGTAACGAAGTTACTTCTTTCGTTACAAACGAAATTTGTAACATCATTATCGTTATAGTTATCGAAAAAAAAATAATTGTAATGGTAACGATGTTACAAGTAACGCGTTACTTCCCAACTTTAATTAAATCAAATTTCAAAAATATTCTGGAAACTACATCTCGTTATAAATGTATAAATAAAAAAATTAAAATGTATGACAAATGTAACTAAAATATATATAATAGAGAGACATTAAATAAAATGCGACATTAACAAGCTAAAATATACAGGCAGGCATTTAATATGATAATTGCAATTATCGAAAAAATTCGTTTTGAATAAATTTATGAAAAGAGGAAAATTCTAATTCTTTTATGCATAAAAAATCTAAATAATATATTATTGTAAAGCAGATTTAAAATATTATTATCTATATAAAAATATTAATACAAGGACATTTTATAATAGACATTTTAAATATATTAAATAAAATCCAGAATATTTTTACATATACATGTTATACTAATGTAATTTAATAATTGAAATAATTTAGATAATTTGGAATGAGAGAGAGAGAGAGAGAGAGAGAGAGAGAGAGAGAGAGAGAGAGAAAGAAGAGAGAGAGAGGGAGTGAACAAAAGGACAAGCAATATATAATATGATTTGAATATAAATGATGTATATAAATCTAATATAAATAATATATATAATATAGCTTGAATATAAATGATAAATATAAATAATAAATAATTTACAAATTATTTACCGCATATTGTTGCTCCGTATGTGCCCAGTGCTTTTTCAGACTTGCTTTTCCTCTCCTTTACTATTTTTTCGTTGCACTCCCGAAAACAAGATTAATTAAGGTTAATCATATTCGCGACGATCGCGAGACACTTTGCACGGCACTCCCGATCGCGTAATAATTACGATTATAAATTTAGTAAGCATTAATTATAATTGTCATAGCGAATTTTCTTTCAATACTAGTCGCGATTGCGTTATGGTTAGAGAGAAAATTTGGCGTTATAAAAAGTATTTCGTACCTTACTCCTCGAGTGATACCGTGCGAATGATATCGAGGCCGTGAGATGTAAACACAATACATCATACGCCGCTAAGGCCGAACGTATTATTGTCTATTCATTGCCGAAATATTTTGCGTACTTACACGGAATATTAAAGATTATAAGAGTGTTTTAGATTAATTAAATGATATTTGTTAAAGAATTGATGTATCACAAAGCTTTTCATTATGTTAACTTCGATTTATTTCGTTACTTCGATTTACGATTCGATTGTTTTTGCTGTGCGTTTTGAATCTAAATTAGATTTAAATAAATGAAAAATAGAACGAGATAAAGCGTCGCGGTCGAATTATATTTGATGTCATATTCTATAGTTGATGTAAGACTCTATAAATATTATTAAAGAAATAATTTCTGCTTATAAAATCGCACTAAACATAACAGAACCGAAGAACACATTAGCGCGTCATACACCATCAAGGCCGAAGATCGTGTTATTATTTTATAACTGAGATATTATTACATATTATGATTATGTATATATATATATATATATATATATATATATATATATATATACTTGTAATAAAGAATGATTGCGTTTCAATAAAGATTTATCATCGCAATACATTATCGTATGCCAAAAATAATTAATCATTAATTGTATTCATGATCGAAAATGATTTTTTTAATATTAATCGCGAACATATTTTTAAATGGAATTTGTGACGGAGCGTTTTGTGTTATTAGTTTGCTGGTCGAATATATATCGACACACAAATGATAACAAGACCGTGAGATATAAAGAATAGCGCTCTATAACCGTCAAGGCCGAATACCATGTTGTTGTCAATTTGTTGCCGAATTATTTTACGTTTAACATTACACACACACACACACACATGGAATATTAAATTATAGAAATTTATTATATTATAGAAATATTTTAAATTATAAATTATAATTATTAAATAATTATAATATATTACCAATTTTTTCATTATGCAAATTGCTCGATCTCATTATTCGATTATTTCACTGTGTATTTTGAATTTAAATTATATTTAAATCGTCCAAAAGTCGAATAGTGTAGCAGTGAACAAAATGTATCTGACTTCAAGTATCATTGGAAAAATAATTATTGTCCGGAAGAATTGCAATGAAATAATAATATAAAAATTTATATATATATATATATTTATTCTTTGACTTGATTAAACGAATCATTAAATCATTTAACATATGCGTTCGAAATCTATCTTCACAATAGTGTTAAAATCATATTATTCTTAAAATTAATTAATTATTAATCATGATAATTATAGCAAATTATTTCTCGATATCGTAACCGTATTTCGAAAAAGAATTCGACAATCTATAGAATGTTTTACATCTCATTACCTTCTTGCTCAAGTGTCGCCGGGTGAATGACAACATGCTAAGCGCCTATGATAACAGTAACAGTATCGCAAAGGCTGTAAAGGCCAAATAATGTTATAGTTAATTTAGATTATTGTCTTGAAATATTTAATACTTTAAACATTACTTTATGATATAAACTTATGATATAATTAATGCTGGACATTTTATCTCTTATTTTAAATTAATAAATAATGCTATTTTATCGCAAGTAAAATTAACTATCCATATTATTTTATTTTGATTCAGAAACCATTTGTAAATATCATATATCTTGTGTCTTATCAAATTTTCAATTTCTGAAGGAAATGATTTCATTTGACGTTAAAGAATAAAAAATATTTCTTATAATAAATCAATATAATAAAATTACGACAATAAGATTCTTTATTAACACGGCAATCTCGTTTAATCGAACACGAAAAGAACGTGGAAAAACGGTATTTTCGTAATCATAATTTATTTCATGAATATTCAGTTCCGCGCGATATGGAATTTATAAATAGATTTCGAATTTATTGACGACTCTTTGATATGAAAATACAATCAATTACTTTTTTATGAATATTTCAAAATATATACTATAGAATATATTTCAAATATATACTATAGAATAAAATATGTATGTAAATTTAATGAATTACTATTATATAATCATTATATGTATACTTTGGATAATTTTCATGTAATTTGTATTGGATAATTTTCATGTAATTTGTAAGAATGTATTCATGATATTTCTTAATTATTAATAATATTAATATTAAATAGATAGAGAGATGAATTGTAGTTTAATATTACTGGCAATAACAAAAGAAATATTACTGAGATATTACTGATTGAAATAGTCAAAATTATTAACTGATTCTTTCAATAAAATGTCACTGATTTATAGTGCTGTACTTATAACTGCTATAATCAGTGACTATTTACTGTTTTTCAGTGATAATACACTGATTTACTTTTAGACAGTGCTTTATTCAATAATACTATTAAATATATTATTATGGTAAGAAAAAGACGTCAAAATATGGTACATTTTATGATGTCAAAATGCGATACATCTCATGACATCAAGAATCTGTGACATTAGATCATCACTTTTACGTCACAAAAACGTCAATTCGTGACATCAAGAATAGTCAGTGAATGACTAATTTGAAACGTCAAAATGACGTGTGCTTGTTACCTGGGTTAGTACTACAGGATTCCTTCGCGATAGTAAAAAAAAAAATAATTAATATAATCTTTATCGGAAAAAATCTTACGAAAACATAATTGATGTTGTATGATCCTTTTTTATTAGATTTAAATAGGTTTTGATAAATTATGAACTCCCAGGGCAAGAGAGAAATTTTAAAAGTTTAGGTTTAAATTTTTCTTTTCCCAGATGATATACTCCCCACCAAGGAGAATCTTCATTGCTAAGAGAATAGTACAATACTTTTAAACCTTGAGAATATGTTCATTCTTTCCACCATGGCAAAAGCCTACGAGATTTAACAAAAAAAAATTCTAATATAAAACAACACGACAAGAAAGTAGCGAATAAGAGCCATCGTGGATGGTAATGCGTAAATTTTAATTGTTCGCGATAATTTAAACGAGCACGAGATGTATGCATATGTTTCACTTGGTGCATTTACCAAGATATAGATTCTCATTTTTGAGAATTCTATAAATCCTCTTTACCCTTCTGAAGAGATGTAGACAAGAAAAATATTGGGGCGATATTTAATTATATATTTAATTATAATATAACATAATTTAATTATAATTATCTATATATTATGAATATAATTTACACTTTCCTTTACTTCATGTTTATAAGAAAATAAAAACATCAATGAATTGCAGACCAAAATGAATCCATGTAAATGCACGTGTATTTAATTATATATTATTAACGTACATAAGCATAAATAATAAATAAAAACTATAAACATTATAAAAAGCTATTTGTCAAAAAGATATATAGATGTATTTGCGTCACAATTGTTACTTCTATCAAACGGTTATTGTTGATATTTGACAAAATTTTGAAAGTAATTCTGTTGACTTTTGATTTCGAAAAAGCGCATTTGTAGTTTGCTTACAATATTTGAAGTATATGGCTGCATACATGTGAAATTTTCTGCTAATTCTGTAAAGCATGTCTAAAACAGATTATATCGGTATTAGTGTAAATAGCCAATAATTATTATTATATTAAATTATCTATTATGTATATATAATATATATTATTATATATTTATATATATATTTTATATATATATGTATATATAATATATATATATATATATTTAATATATTTATTTTAATATATATATATATATATTTATATATTTAATATATATATATATATATATATATTAAATACATACAATAATAATAATAATCTTAAATGTAATAGAAATAAATAATAATTATGGAAATATGAAAATTACAAATTTACTGAAATGAGAATAAAATCATTCTTCTATTGTACGTACCTACGTGTTCTATTATATTATGTGCATAGTGTTGCACTATATTTTACTTACCAACTTTTTTGTTTACAAGGAGTACTTATAAATAATAGTTAGATAGTTACTTTGCAAGTAATTTTTAAGAAATAAAAATCAAAATTTAAAATTGGAAATTTTAAAAATAAAATAAAATTAGCAATTTATATGAGCTGCAGCTGTCACAGAGATAACATCATTATAATATTATAATATTATAATTGTTACATCTAGCAAGAACATTAATCTTTTTAACTCATCCATCTTTATTAAATTTTTATTTTAGTAAACAAATGACTCGTGTAATATTAAAGTATGCAAATCACATTACGTAATATTTTCTCAATTATATTAAAAAACATTTAAATTTATTTAACTAAGAGCTGAACGTCTAGACTAATTAAGATTTAAATCTAAAACTTGTAAATTTTCTTTTTAAAATTTATAATTCGATTTTCACTAAAATTTCCAAGTAAAGAAATTCTCTTTCTCTTTTGCTTTCGCTCGCTCGCTCATTCTTTCTCACTTTCTCAATCATTAAAAATTGCATGTTTCCAAAATAATATATTTTTGGAAATTAGAAATAAATATATGCTTATTTTATAAAAAAATTAAATTACATTAATTTTTGCTTGTTATTTTAGGACACTGTGACATTAATATATTCTGTATGAAAACAGAACAATCAATGATTAATAAACGAAATATTAGTATAATAATGTTCCTAAAATTTACCTCTACTTTCGTATTTCTTTCATTCACAAAACGCGATAACTTCTTACATTCATTTAATTTAACTTGCATTACATTAAGAAATTTATCTGTTATGAAGTCGTTTATCTAAAACAAATTATTTTGATGATATTAAACAGCAATATTTGATGTCATCATGGTTATTTATTTTACACACACACACACACACGCACACACACACACACACACACACACATATATATAAGCACATGCAATTTTTACCTTTTGGAGTTGATCTGTGGAATACACATGATTAATAATTACAGTAAATGTTGCATACTCGCTGATTTGTCTATAACAGTAAAACAATAAATTTATTGATACACACATAAATTGTTGAATGATAGATATATATTTACGGAGAGAAAATTGTATTACTTAGGTTTTATATTTTTAAGATTGTGTAATATGAAATCGAGTACTACAGGATTCCTTGCATGCTTTGCGATAGTAAAAAGAAAATAATCAATATAATCTTTATCGGAAAAATCTTTTAAAAATATAATCGATGGTGCACTATCATTTTTTATTAGATTTAAATAGGGTATGATAAATATTGAATCCTCAGGGCAAGACAGATATTTTAAAAATTTAGTTTTAAATTTTTCTTTTCCCAGACGATATACTTTCCACCAAGGTGAATCCTTCATACTTTCACTGCTAAGAGGATAGTACAATATTTTTAAACCTTGACAATATGTCCATTCTTTCCACCATGGCAAAAGCCTATGAGATTTAACAAAAAACAAATTCTCATAAAAAAGTTTTGCACATATTAATCTTATATTTTGATTAAATAATTTTACAAATTATGATTTTATAACATAATATAATAAAGTTAAATTTTGATCGAATAATGTAACAAACATTGCACATGTATCTACAAAACATTTAAATTAAAATAATCAGAAATATACAAGAAAAATTACGTGTTCTTTTCTGGATTCTCGAGATGTGAAATTAAGTTATGTTGGGCTGTTTCTATGCATATGCGACCATCAAGATTACATGCCCATTTCGCAGCCTCCATTCTCAAACTCTTTGTAAGATCGTGTTCATTAGAATCAAGTTCATTGTATTTAAGTGAATCAAGCAACTTGTATAGTAAGATTAACACTTTCACCTAAATATATAAATATATATATATACATATATATATATATATATATATATATATGTACACATATATGTATTTATATGTATTTAAACAAGTATTGAGAAAAGCTCTCTTAAATTTTAACAATAAATAGAAAGGTCATAGGCGATAGAGAGCATGTAAATAATTAGATAATCAAGATTAAAATAGAAAAATCATAATTTAATAAAGCAAATTAAGTACGATAAACATACAAAAATTAAACATAAGAATATACATAAGGTACGAACGTTTCTGCCTCTCGCTTTGAGCCTTCTTCAGCGCAATAATAATAACCAACAGAAATTAATATAAAAATTAATAAATCATGAATATAATAAGGTATTGAGTAACATATAAATAATGATAAAATCGCAATCGGCGCAACGTTAATAGACGCTTATCGAAGTAATAGATCTTCATGGTAAAAAATAGAAACCTTATTGTGCAAGTGTAATTGGTGTAGAACAGAACACTTGTCGCATCCAAGTTTTCATCATAGGAATCTTGACCGTATTGTCAAAATCCTTTTAGACAATTGCTATTCCTTGAGCTTCATATTTGAAGTCATAAGCCAACGACTTAGATTTTTGTTTATGAATCGTGATCGCGGTGATCTTGGGACATTGAAAGATTCTTCCACGTTTTTCACAGTCCCATACTTGCCAAACTTCACTGAGCGGTTTAGAAGCGTCACAAAGAACTTGGACATCAAACTTTCCTATACCAGCCTAAATAAATTAAACAAGTTTATTAAAGTACATAAAGACTACATTCCCTCTAATCAAAAAACCAATGTAGTTTATAAAATTAATTGTTCGGATTGTGACGCTTCATATATTGGCCAAACTTCGAGAATGCTAAAGACGAGAATTTCGGAACATAGATCGCAACTTAATAGAAATTATACTACTCGCTCTGTCGTTACAAATCATAGGCTACAATACGATCATGATTTTTGTTGGAACGACGTTAAAATTCTGGATGAAGCTCCTTTTTACAATAGAAGATTAATTTCTGAAATGCTTTACATCAAGAGACAAAAGAATGGTTTAAATTTACAGACAGACACAGAAAATTTATATCATGATATTATAAACGAGCTACCGAAAATTTGAATGTCATGTTCGGGTATATACTCGTATACCAGCCTTCTCATCGGCATTTCTAACAGTAACTGTTTCTCACGTTGAACCTTATTGTTTCTCTCCATCTTTCGTATTATCGTTGAACAGTCTCTTTGTAAGTATTTATATTGTCACACAGTATATTATATGAATTGTTTAAAATACCGGATCATGCCATTTTCAGGCTGCATTTGGTACTGTTGTCGAGTTTCTGTTCTACACCAATTACACTTGCACAATAAGGTTTCTATTTTTTACCATGAAGATCTATTACTTCGTCTATTAACGTTGCGCCGATTGCGATTTTATCATTATTTATATGTTACTCAATACCTTATTATATTTATGATTTATTAGTTTTTATATTAATTTCTGTTGGTTATTATTATTGCGCTGAAGAAGGCTCAAAGCGAGAGCCAGAAACGTTCGTACCTTATGTATATTCTTATCTTTAATTTTTGTATGTTTATCGTACTTAATTTGCTTTATTAAATTATGATTTTTCTATTTTAATCTTGATTATCTAATTATTTACATGCTCTCTATCGCCTATGACCTTTCTATTTATTGTTTATATGTATTTATATTGTTACTTGATATAAATTTTATATTTTTCGATTCTTGCATTATACTTTGCTATATAGAAAGATATCTTGCGTAATTGTATTTTACATATTAAGATGGTTTATATATTAAAAACATTCTGTCTTTGTAAACAGCTCTGAATTCATTTCACATAAAGATATCTATCTTATATAGCTATACTTATATATACGTATTTATACAAATTTGTTTACACAAATTTGAATTTTTCTTGCGTGCACATTCACACATGCTTAATACATGTTCATATTACAAAATAAACATACAGAAGTGAATGCATGCATATATTGTAAACATGTAGACATTATATCTATTGTATAAATGTAGACATTATATCTATTGTATAATATAATTTAATAATTTGTTAATTCTTTTGTGTATTAAACACATAGATAATTAATATATATATATGTGTCCTACTAACTTTCTATCTTAAAATTAATGATATTTAAATCGTCATTTTAAATATTATGCTGTGATTAAAAATGATAACAATTTTCCAACTTTTCTCCCTTTTCCTCTCGAATTTCTTATAATATTAGTACATACACTATTCGAGTGTTAATTTACAAATATACTTATCTTTCATTTAAAATATGTATATTTAAACCTTTTTATCTAATCAAATTTTTTCTAATTACATGTACAGTATCCGTCAAAAATATATCATCTTTTTTAAGGATAATTTAATTCAAAGTGTATATATGTATTTAATTAATTTTTCTTAAGTAGCTGGTTCATTATTGAATGAAAAGTCTATTGTTAAATAATCTATATTATACCTACTATTGAAACATGTGACTAGATAAAAATATATACACTTTGAATTAAGTTATTCATTTTGAGTTAAGTTATTCTCAAAAAACATAAAGGTGATATGTTTTAAAGGTGATATTTTTGGCCTATACTGTATTTTATTGTATGTATCTTTTTGACAAGCACTTAATAATTATTGTTATAAATGCATACAATATTAATATGTGCAATAAGTAATATGTTTTAGTATGTTGGAGACATCACTATTGACATTGTTTATAATTTGTGTTATTACCTTGATTTTAATATATATTCTTTCCTGAAATAGAAAGATATTGGACAGATATTCTAAAGCTTTAAACATAGGATACCATGCCACGTAGTCTGTTTCTTGTGATAGATATTTTGCAATATTCCAGAATACAGTGGAATTAAGTTGGTTTGTTATCATTAAGTGGAAAGCGTCATCGATAATTTGAGCACGATTCAAAACATGTATTTCCCTATAATTTGTAGAATTTAGATAACTTGCCATTCTTCGCCAGTTCTCGATATCGTAATTGACTCGATAATATCCTGCCGAAAATAAATAAATTGTATATAAATATATATATATATATATATATATATATATATATACATAATTCTTTCAAATGGTTTATCAGTACAAGTATCTGTTTATACTTTTGTACTTAAACTTTTGTACATTAATAGAGATCAAAAATATATCATAAAGTGAACATAAATGGAAATGCAATTTGTATATTATATTAGGTATAAAATCATTTTGCATGAAAATTGAATATTTCTAATAATTGTGCGTATGTATGTATATATATGCATGTATATATAATGTATGTATGTATATATAATGTATAATAAATGTAATGTATATAATACATAATATAATGAATAACACTTTTAATAATGTAAATCTTTCTCTCCAATGTGTGTGTATGATAAACACTATAAAATGCAATAAATTTATTGCAAACTTACCAGTTTGTTCTGGATTATATACCATAAAGTTATCCGGTCCTATATTATGAATGTTGTAGTTATTTCTCAACTTATCCGAT